AAGGTCATTGCCTATGCTTCGCAGCAGTTGAATATTCATAAGAAGAACTATCCGGTTCATGATTTGGAGTTAGCAGCCATTGTTCACACGCTGAAGATTTGGAGGCATTATCTGTATGGCGTGGCATGTGAGGTGTTCACGGATCACTAGAGTCTGCAGTATTTGTTCAAGTAGAAGGAGCTAAATTTGAGGCAGAGATGGTGGTTGGAGCTATTAAAGGACTATGATATCACAATCTTATATCATCTGGGAAAGGCCAATGTGGTTGCTGTTGCTTTGAGTAGGAAGTCAGCCAGTATGGGCAGTCTTGCTTATATTCCGGTCGGTGAGAGACCGCTTGCTTTGGATGTTCAGGCTTTGGCCAATCAGTTCGTGAGGTTGGATGTTTCTAAGCCCAGTCATGTGTTATATTGCACAGTCGCTTGTTCTTCTTTATTGGAGCGTGTCCGAGATCGGCAGTATGATGATCCTCATTTGTGTGCCTTAGAGACATGGTGCAGCATGGAGGTGTCAAGCAGGTTACCTTAGGAGATGATAAAATTTTGAGATTGCAAGGTCGAGTTTGTGTGCCTAATGTGGATGGGCTTCGAGAGTTGATTTTAGAGGAGGCTCATAGCTCCCGGTACTCTATTCATCCAGGCGTCGTATCAGGATTTGCGGCAGCATTATTGATGGAGAAGAATGAAGAAGGATATCCTTGCATATGTGGTTCGGTGTTTGAATTGTCTGCAGGTTAAGTATGAGCATTAGAGGCCTGGTGGTTTGTTCCAGAAGATTGAGATTTCTGAGTGGAAGTGGGAACGTATCACTATGGACTTTGTAGTTGGACTCCCACAAACTCAGAGGAAGTTCGATGCAGTGTGGGTTATTGTTGACAGGCTGACAAAATCAGCACATTTCATTCCTGTGGCAGTCTCCTATTCTTCCGAGGGGTTAGCTATGATCTATATCCGGAAGATTGTTCGTCTTCATGGTATGCTTGTGTCTATCATTTCGGACCGAGGTACGCAGTTTACCTCACATTTTTGAAGGGCAGTTCAGCGAGAGTTGGGCTCACAGGTTGAGTTGAGCATAGCATTTAATCTTCAGACGGACGGCCAGTCCGAACATACTATTCAAATTTTACAGGATATGCTCCGAGCTTGTGTCATTGACTTTGGAGGTTCGTGGGATTAGTTTCCTTTAGCAGAGTTTGCCTACAATAACAACTACCAGTCGAGTATCCAGATGGCTCCTTATGAGGCTTTGTATAGTAGGGGGTGTCGGTCGTCAATTGGATAGCTCGAGCTGGGGAAGCTCGGTTGTTGGGTACGGATCTAGTGCAGGATGCCTTGGACAAGGTCAGGATCATTCAGGATAGGCTTCATTAGTCTAGGAAAAAGAGTTATGCCGATCGCAAGGTTCATGATTTGGCATTCATGGTCAATGAGCGGGCATTGCTTCGAGTGTCGCCTATGAAGGGCGTGATGATATTTGGGAAGAAGGGCAAGCTTAGCCCTAGGTTCATTGGTCTATTTGAGATTCTTGATCGAGTGAGAGAGGTGGCTTACAGACTTGCGTGGCCGCCGAGCTTACCAGCCGTGCATCTAGTGTTTCATGTGTCCATGCTTCGGAAGTATCATGGCGATCAATCCCACGTGTTAGATTGTAGCACTGTCCAGTTGGACAAGGACTTATCTTATGTGGAGAAGCTGGTAGCTATTCTAGACCGGCAGGTTCGTCAGTTGAGATAGAATAGTTTTCCTTATGTTCGTGTTCAGTGGAGAGGTCAGCCTGCTGAGCATCGACCTGGGAGTCTGAGTCCGATATGCCGAGCCGTTATCCTCATCTTTTCCCCGACTCAGATACTTCCTTCTTATGTCCGTTTGAGGACGAACAATTGTTTTAGAGGTGGAGAATGTGATGACCTAAAAAACAAATTCCGTGTTCTAAGGCCTTAAAACCTCTTTCTGTCTCACCTCGATTTGCATGCATAGTCTGGGCGCATAGCCAGAAAGCCAATATGTGAAAATCTGTGAAAAATGATGAATTTTAACTTTAAAATGAATTAAGTTGACTTCGGTCAATATTTTGGGTAAACGGACCCGAACCCGTGATTTAATGGTCCTGGAGGATCCGTAGGTAAATATGGGACTTGGGCGTATGCCCGAAATGGAATTCCGAGGTCCCAAGCCCGAGAAATGAATTTTTGAAAGAAATTATTTTGCTGAATTAATTATGAAGTAAAGAAGAGAATTTATGTTTGAAACCATTGGTATCGGGCACGTATTTTGATTTTGGAGCCCGGTATAGGTCTTATATGTGATTTAAGATGAATCTGTAAAATTCGGTAAAAAATGGACTTGAAACGACATGAATTGGAGCATATTTGAGAAAGTTGAAAATTTTGAAGTTCTTAAGAAATTTCATGATTTTGATGCTAAATTCATAGTTGTTGATGTTATTTTGGTGGTTTGAATGCACGAGCGAATCCGTATGATGTTTTTAGGTTGGTGGGCATGTTTGGTTTGGAGCTCCGAGGGCTCGGGTGAGTTTTGGATAGACCCCGAAGTAGAATTGAACTTGGAAAAATTGCAGGTTTCAGCTATTCTATTGCAGGCCTGCAGGCTTCGCACTCGCAAATGCAAGTTTGCAAATGCGAGGGCTGGGTCACAAATGCGAACTAACCCAGGCCAGCCTTCCCTCGCAAATGCGAGTTTTCCATCGCAAATGCGATGTCCCCCCAGTTACTGCCTTAGTCGCAAATGCGACTCCTGTATCACAAATGCGACTTCGCATTTGCGAGAGGTCTATCGCAAATGCGAAGAAGACCGGAAAATAGACTGGGTCGCAAGTGCGACATTTTGTTCGCAATTGCGAAATGTCTCAGAATTCTGAAGGATTCGCAATTGCGAACCCTGGTCGCAATTGCAACATCAGAGACCTGTAAATTCATAGCTTAGACGCATTTCAACCATTTTTCACACTCTTTCAAAACCAAAACACCCTAGAGCGATTTTTCAATTGCAACTTCTTCTCCAAATCGATTGTAAGTGATTTCTAACTAGTTTTCTTGTCTCCTTAACATCTTTTCACATGATTTTAACTCAAAATCAATGGTTTTCATGGGGGAAATTGGGTGTTTTGGGTAGAACCTTGGTGTTTCAAATTTTTGGGATTTGGACCTCGATTTGAGGTCCGATTTCAAAACAAATCATATATTTTGGTTCGTGGGGGAATGTGTAATCGAGTTTTGATTTGAACCTCGGGTTTTGACCATGAGGGCCCGAGGGTGATTTTTGAGTTTTGGGTAAAACTTTGAAAAACTTATTTTCATGCATTAGAATTGATTCATATAGCATTTATTGACGTAATTACGTAATCTATGGCTAGATACGAGAGAATTGGTGGGAGAATCAAGAGGTAAAGCGATAACTGAAACTTGAATTGTGTTCGTGGCATCGAGGTAAATGTTTGGTCTAACCTTAGCTTGAGGGATTAGGAGTCGTGTGTTATTTGCTTTGTGTTAATTGTGGAGTACGACGTATAATCATGGTGACGAGTATCTATACGTCGGTGTCAAGCATGCCCGTGAGTCTTGTATTGTAATTGTTATGACTTCGTTGTGGTTTATTGCGCTTCGTATGAGGATTATCATTATTGTTCCCTTGTCGGGATGTTATTATCATTATTGTTCCCTTGCCGGGATATTATTGTTCCCTTACCGGGATGTTTGTTTTGATATTATTGATCCCTTGCCGTGACCCTTTTTTTTATTGGAATTGATAAAAGAAATAGGAGCGGGTTGCACGCCTGCAATGGTAATAAAAGAAATGGGAGCAGGTTGCATGCCTGCAACGACAATATGTGATATGGGAGCGGGTTGCATGCCTGCAACGGTAATAAAAGAAATGGGAGCGGGTTGCACGCCTATAATGATAATCTGTGAAATGGGATCGGGTTGTATGTCTGCAACATTAATATGTGAAATGAGAGTGGGTTGCACGCCTGTAACGGTAATATGTGAAATGGGAGCGGGTTGCACGTCTGCAACGGTAATATGTGAAATGGGAGCGGGTTTCACACCTACAATGGTAATATATGAAATGAGATCGGGTTGCACACCTGCAACGGTATTACATGTGTGCTTGTTTCTTCTATTTCTTTATTTTTACTGGTAATTGATTTATGGCATTCCTTATGTTTCTCTACTATCGTTCTGTTGTTACCCGTTCCTCCCCGCAACATGTTTGCCCCGCCCAATTTTAATTGTAATTATCTGCTTCTATTTCCGCTGTATATGATTTAACTGCACAGGTTTATTTGGTAGTCTGGTCCTAGCCTCGTCACTACTTTGCCGAGGTTAGGCTAGGCACTTGCCAGCACATGGGGTCGGTTGTGCTGATACTATACTTTGCACTCTTTTGTACAGATCCCAGTGCTGTAGATTTTGGACCGCAGTAAAGGTGCTGTCTTTAGTCCACACAGGTGACCAGAGGTAGTCCTGCTGACGTCCACGGGCCTTGGCGTCACCTCCTATCTTTCCTTTATCCTGTTTCCTTTACTTATTTCACAAATAATGTAACCTTTATCTTTCAGACTTTGTATGCAGTATTCTTAGACCGTTTGTGAAACTGTGATACCAGTTCTGGGTAGTCGATGCTCAAGAAGTTGTATTGGATATATATTCGGATAATTTATTGCATTTCTTCCGCTTATTGTAAATTCTGTCGTCTACACGTTATTGCTTCATAATTGTTAAAGAATATTAAAAGATAATTTGTTCAAATAGTCGGCTTGTCTAGCTCACATTAGTAGGCGTCATCACGACTCCTGAGGGAGGGAATTCCGGATCGTGACACACCTGCACGACTACCCATCATAGGTGCGATATATGCAGTACCATCAATAACACTTCTTGCCCAAAAAAATCTGAAATCAATCCGAAACACTTGAACCCCATGGGCCCCAATCCAAAAATTTATACAAGTATAAAAACCTCATACAAAAGCTCAAAAAACTTAAATAACATCAATAATCTTGAATCAACCATCAAAACTCACAGATTTTAAAGTACTTAAGTTCTAATTTTTAACTTTTACAATAAGCGCCGAAACGGCCTCGGGTTACTCGGTACCCCAATCAAACTTGCGTACAAGTCTAAATCATCATACCAACTTGTCAAAATTGTCAAAACACCGATCCAAAGTCATTTACCAACAATGTTGACCGTGGTCAGCTCCAACCATTTTAAAGCTCAAAGATGAGAGCATTAAAATATACTAATAAAGTTTATACTAAACACTATCTGCAGAAATATTAATGGTTCTATAATGCTTCATGTCAGCATGATTTCATGAATGGAAGAAACGCAGAAAAAGAGCAGATTTTATTACAAAAATCAATAGTTTTTAACTTAAAAAAACAGCAGCTTTACAGTTGCTAAAATATGAATTTTAACCTAGGAATAAAGTGATACTAACCTTGATTTTTGCTACCCGTAGAAGGTCGACGGATCAGTTGATTAGCAGCTTGTGCAGAGGTAGCTTCTCCTAGTGACAAAACAGTCAATGTTGCTAGTATGTTTGGATTAATTAATCCTGCTTGTTGAAGTTGAGCAATTACATCTGTAGTAATTTCTTGTCGCATAGTTCTTTTTTGTTCCTCCATTTTTCGAATCCTTTCTTGTATTTCTTGCACCGTATCATTTGTGGTGTTTGAAGTCGGCTCGGAATGGCCCGCTTTTCCTTTCAAAGTAGTCTTTGTAACTCCACGTCCATATAATCTTAAACGTCCCGGATATTCAGGACCCATGACAGATGAAAACACATCAACAGATTGATTGCCATCTACACTTTGTTGTGTTTTAATTTTTTTCCATTTCAGCCTAACAAAGTAAATTCAACAAAAGAATTAAAGTAAAAAAGAATAAGGAAGAAGAATAAAAAAATGATCTCATCTAAAACTTGCAAATAAATATTCGTACAATTTTAGTAGTTGTATTTTCGTAAGTCCTTGTACAAACGCCCAGGTTTTCTTGCTCTTGTGGCCACAAAAATGTCTTTAAGTGAGACAGATTCCTTAGTTTTTTCCTAGTCGCATGAAAATGGATATAAGAGATCTTTAAGAAACACAAGTTTAGATATAATAATAAATAAGAGTACACACCAATTCATTGCGAATTACAAGAAAACTTGTTTTACCAACAGTGTGTGGATCCTTCAACTTTTTCCGATTCTCCTTGTTAATTTTGGATGATTTATGCAAACAAAATGAGTCAATACAATATATCTAAACAACACAATTAGTAGCATTTTGAAAAGAAAAAAAAAACAGAAGAAAAAAAGACAATATGTTCATAAAACAAAGTACATTTTTTTACAACTTCATCAAGAGGACCTGTAGGGTTTAGAGGAAACAAAGTATCTTTAGCAGGTTTGCTACTTTAGGAAAAAATGAAAGCCCCCTTTTAAAGTCCTATATATAGACATTGCCTCTAAGTTCTTAATCAGATTTGATTAGATTATATATAGATGACATAAATTTATACGACATACTTGTGTGTTTCACAGGTATAAACAAGTGCAATAATGGAGAAAACAGAAGCTAATTGTGAAAGGAAACTAGTTGCTCACTTGCTCAGTTCGAACACTAACCGCTATCACAGTCTTATTAATTCAATCATCTAAACATAGTAAGAATCTTTCCTATTGTCATGATCTTTATCCAACAACCAATTAAAGAAGATGAAAAAGAGTTCCTAATGGTTTCTACAAGTCTGGACATGTCCATTATACACAGATATTAGAATATACTCTCAAGGTATGACTTCAGTAAAGCATTACAATAGAATATTTTAACATATACATGGTTATGATTCAGATCATATATATTAACACTGCCTAATTTTTGATCTTTTAAGAACCAAATATATCTCAAAGACAAACCAAAATTATCTAAAGCAGATTAATCCAGACAGAAGAAAGGGGCAATGTATCATTCATGTATCGATTATGCTCAAAACATTACTGGTGACAACATGATAATCCTATTAGCATGATATCTATACATTATAATATTTACTTCAAGTCATAACCATTCAGTATTTAGACTAATAGACGAATTATCTATGTATTCGACATAAAATGAAACCAACAATAAATTAAGTTACTGATAATGATCCAAGAGAAAGATTGGAACATAAGCCAGCCCCATATTAAGTTAGTTATGGAGAGTTAAATTCAGTTAGAAAATAAAAAGAAAATATGTAGCGCACTAACACCACATTTCACATAAAACAAAACTGAAAATTCAGCACCAGATGGTGTAAAATATAAATAAATTGCCCAATTCAAGTATTGGTGTAATTGTCTGCTCCTAAATAGAAGTTTCCAGAACTATACGACAATACTATTTAGGACAACACAAATTTAAATTCATATGAAATATCCTACAGTGTTACCTACTGAAGAAAATTATTTTGTAACGCAATTAGAGTTCTCCAGTATTAACAAATTGTGGAGACTATTGTCAAGACCATGGTTTATATTTACCTGTAGTTTATCAAAACTCCAATATTTCAGGAGTTCTTTAAACTGATATTCTGGTATATAATCAGGTCTTTTTGTCATTCGAACATCATCATTTTGATAGGCATCATAATGATCTTTCTTCAGTTGACTTTTATGCCTTCTCCAAGCATTTCCAATTGAATATAAAGTCCATGTTTTTGTAGCATCTGGAATATCATACTTCGACTACAATTTGATTTCTTTGATTAGCGAAAATTGTAACATACTTTTAACAAGTAAATGAACATTTGGATCAGAACTTCAAACCTTGGTAGATGTCCATAAATCATCTTTTGTGTCCATTTTCCTCCAGTCCAATATATCCAGTGGGCAATGGGTTGTAGTCCTTGCCAATGTACCGAGGAAGCTACCAAACTCTCTTACATCTTTTTTAGTAGGACCAATGGGCTGATTGAGATTGTTAAGTGTGATCACATTACGCATCTTTCGGCCATGGACACTACGCATTTGTGTCCTGCCTCTCTTTCTTTTTTGAGTCGCAGGACCAGAAGCTACAATAAAATACAAAAAATCAGAGGTCATGGATGAATTCAGTAAGATTCTAAGTTATGTGGTCTTGCCTTGTTCTTCAGATTGTTCATTAGCTGTAGGAGTGGTAGAATCTATTTGCATCTGCTCATCTACAATTTGCTCCTCTACAGATTGCTCCTCAACATGTCGTTCATTTGCTTCAGATCGTGGTCCTATTGTTGGTTGTTCTTCAATTAATTTTAGCAGATGCTCTTTCTCTGACCGTATAGCTTGAACAGTTTCTTTTGTTGTCAATGACATTCTTTTTTTTTTTTGCCAAACATGATAAACTTCCAACTTGAACTTATGACAGGCTTTTTCCTTTTTTATTTTTTCTTGAAGACCCTTCTTGACCCATACTATCTAAATCTGTGCATGTTTAAGACAATCAAAGGTAATCATGTTAGAAGAAGGTTAGTTGAAGCATCAGGTAGACAACGCAATAATGGCACTGAACATTACCAAAAAAAGGAAGAAAAAGCATGACGCATTATATCAATAATAAGTACTTGAAACAATTTTGTGCCACTTACTTGAAAGATAAACTTTATGCAACTTACTTGGATTGTAATCTACAATTAGTAACACTTGTTGGTATATAATCTGTAAAATTGAAGCAATTCAGAATAAAACTCTAAGAAAAAAACAAATGCAAAAGGACTAAAAACATATAAACAAGAAAAATAGTCACATAATATTTCTAAGGAATGGCATTATTACTCGCTACAAAATAATGACGAGTATATATTTAAAGAAGTTTAGAATATCCTTCATCAATCATCAGCCTCCATCCAATCCCAATCAGTATCATCATACTCATCCTCCTCTTCCGATGTTTCCATAGTTGTATTAGATAAAAGGAAAAGAGTGGTGCCCTAACAACGAATAAGGTTTAATTACCAAAATCTATCTATCTCGTTTGTTACCCACTTTTATGACTTAGGAAAAAAATATACATATTGACAGAAAGCAACAAAAATGCAAATAAAGAGACTTACTTATAAGAGAGGAAAATAATTTTTTCCATCTGTTATCAGGTGAGCTAAAGCTCATATAGTTTACTTACTCATGAACTATACTTGAAAACGGATTCACAAACGGCATCATAATTCCTCTCTGGGAAATGGATTCCCAACCCTATGAACAACAACAACACACAATACCTCCCAAACCCCCAGATATTGATCAAAGCATGATCAAACCTAGCTTCAAAGATATGCTTACCACTTCGAACCCTTTACTCTTCACCACTATTAAAAATCATCAAGATATATATCCCCCAATGATGGACTCAGAAGATCAAGTAGTTGATCAACCAACCTTAACGACCTCAAAGGGTATCAAATTCATAACACTCTCTGATGAGGAGAAGGTACAAATCTATGAGCCATGGAAAAATTTAATCATAGTAAAGCTAGTGGGCAAGCGTATGTTACACCACTATCTAAAGAAAAAAATTCAAGAACTATGGAAACCAACTGAAGATTTCCAGTTGATTGACCTTGGAGTAGACTACTACATAATCAAATTCAAGAAAAAGGAATATGGACAAGGTAATGCATCAAGGCCCTTGGTTCATTAACGGACATTTCCTCTCTATTACGAGATGGAAACCAAACTTTGTTGCCACTCAAGAGAAAGTCACAAACTCTGCAGTATGGATTAGACTTCCTCAATTACCTACAAAATTTTACGATGGCAAAATTCTAGAAAAATTGGTAATGCAATTGGCCGGCTCCTAAAAATTGATGTTTGCACATCAACAACTCTGAGAGGTCGTTATGCAAGATTATGTGTGGAATTACTATTGGAAGTTCCAGTTCAACCGTTCATCTATGTTGGCCACCACAAACAAGCAATACACTATGAAGGTAAAAATTTTCTTTGTAAAAACTGTGGACGATTGGGGCACATAGCACAAAAATGCTCCTTTATTATTCAGAAAAATAGAGATAGAAATAATGAAGATACAAGCAAGGAATTATCAACAATTACAAATGATGGGGAAAAAGAACAATGGACAACAATTTCTTTTTCCAAAGGAAGACATCAAGGTGCAAAAGGTCCTCAAAAACAACCTATTGCAAATCCGATTAAACAAACTAATGGCCCAGGTATCTCTGTCAAGTTATTCAATGCCAACACCGGTAAGTATTTAGACACTCAACTCTTACAATATAAATCAAAAGATCACAGAAATACTACCCCATCACCACACACTAACAATCTTCAATCTTCGACTTTTTTGATTGGTGATCAAAATAAATTGACAACAAAAAACAACTTTTCTATCCTATCTGAAGAGCCCCTGGTTTTGAACAAAAACACTAAAGAAATTAATAATCAAAAAATTATTATTAATAAATCACATGCAAGTGAACAAATGTCACAAACTACCAATGATATTGACATGTTGGACACAATCGTGTCTTCTATTACAAATCCTACAAATCAATTAGTTAAGGTGGCCATGCAAAATAACGTCCATAATGACCCTACTACCCCCATTAAAAATCACAGCACTACTAATAATACTACCCTTTCTAGTGGGCAAATTAGTAACAATCTGTCCACTAACCACAATCTCAAAAGTAAGAACTTTCATCAAGATCTGCTTATCCACAAAGGCCTAAGCATGTTAGACAAATGGCAATGACAGAAGAACATCCAAGCCAAATGGCTAAAAATCCAGTACACGCAAAGGATTTGGGAACTCAGCCTATAAACTCCACCCTTGGGGACTCAAACGACCTGCAAAAGATATCCCCAATCATTACCTATCAACCAATCCATCCCTTATACCTAATAGCTCCTCCCCCACGCCTGATTTAGAGTTATTAAGTAACCTAAACACTGATCATAATGCTAACATTACCATCATCCCTAAGGAGGAGACAAAGACTTCTCTAAATTCTTCGACAAACCAGAATCACCATGGAAAACCTCCCATCTCTCCAACCTCAACCAGTAAACCCTCAAATAATTTATGTTCAACCACCTCACGCTCAAAACTATCAACCTGTGTCATGGATGGAGATGGGTATGATGGGCCATGCATGCTCGTTCAATATCCAGATAAATGGCTAGGACTCGATTATAATCCTCCACGACACTCAGTATCTAGCCCAGTTAGTGACAGAAGGCATGAGGTTGGCCATGAACAACCACCTCAATCAAGCATGGCTCAACAACATCCTTCAACCCTTAGCACCATCAGTGAACCCCTAGCTGGTTCATGCAATGAGGAACCAGTGGAACCTTCCTCCACATTTCAATCCAATCTATCCTCAAAATGCTTTAATGGACATGTCATTCTTCATGCCAGAGAATCTGTCTCAACTGAACCCTATTTTTCTTCCATGGGAACAACCTCAACCAATACAGGAGCCTCAGATACCACAACAACCTCCCTCCCCATCCCACAATAAAGTGCCTATGCCAGAACAAGTAGAGGCAGAAATGCAAGAGGAGGAGGAACCCCTAAACCTACTTTTAGAAAGAGTCCTAGAAATCTCAAGTCTCGACGGAGTAAAAGTGTTTCTCTTTTCGGAAAGGCAAGAGAAGAGGCATGTTCTCAGTTGCCCTCTAGCATTATACAAATGCTCGATGGACATAAGACCTCCACATGATCCAACTATAGGAAATCGAGCCATGATCCTAGTTCCATCATTAAGAAAGAACCTAGTTCTAGGGTAAGTGAGGAGAATGGGAATCCAGCCAACCAAAACCTTAATATTTCCATGAATCGACCTACTAACATTATCATTTGGAATATTAGAGGAGGGAACAATGATAACTTTAGAAGGAACTTCAGGGAAATGGTGGACACACATAGACCCTACATGGTAGCCTTATTAGAAACCAGGATGGGAAATCACATGGAGCTTCTAGACGATTATGGTTTTACGGAGTTCATAGAAGTACCAGCTGAAGGACAGGTAGGTGGGATTGTGGTCCTATACAATCATGAAATTGTCACCGTTCAGAATTTTGTTCGAAGGGATCAGGAGATTTATGCTACAATTGAGGTAATCCCTATTCATCAAAAATGGTTGTTTAGTGCTATCTATGCTAGTACATATATACTTCTTAGGAATAAGATGTGGTATAACATTGAAAGCATTAATAATAGCTAAAATGGACATTGGTTATTAGGAGGAGATTTCAATGATGTATTCTGCTCAAACGAGAAATTTGGTGGTAATAGTATAAAAGATAGTAGGGCTAAATATCTTTGGTCTAAGATTAATAATTGTAATTTAATTGATTTAGGATATAAAGGGTGTAAGTACACTTGGTCAAACCTTAGGCACAAGAATACGGGTTTGATTATGGAAAGATTGGATAAAGTATTAGGCAATGAGGATTGGATTAAGCTTTTTCCAAAAAGTTCCATTATTCATTTGCCTAAAACCCACTCGGATCACAATCCCATTTTAGTAGAATTAATTCCAAAAAATAATGTTCTTTATAAGCCTCCCTTTCGACTTGAAACCTACTGGTGTAAACACCCTTCTTTCAAAACTCTAGTCCAAGAAAATTGGTCTAATAATGATTATAATAGGGCTAGCAATTTGTTTATATAAAAAGTCAAGGTTTGGAAACACCAAGCTTTTGGTGATATTATGAGAAAAAAAAGAAAAATACTAGCCCGGCTTCAAGGCATTGGAAAATCCAAACATTACCCTTATAGTATTTTCCTCCAAAACCTACAAACTAGCCTTAAAAGGGACTACAATGACCTTCTACTAATAGAGGAAGATTATTGGAAGCTAATGTCAAGAATTTTATGGCTCAACGAGGGAGACGCAAACACCAAATTCTTCTACATCTCGGCTACTAATAGAAAAAGAAGAAAAAAGGATCAATTTCTTCAAAGATGATGCAGGGAATTGGATTAACGATCCTAATCTAGTCACCTCCCATGTTTGCAACTACTTTAATTCTATCTTTACCACCTCCCACAAAAATTCTAGCAGAATTAGTCCTTTAAAAAATATCTCCCAAAATGCCTTAAACCTCAATAGCCTAACCCCCTTCTTAGTATTGAGATTAAAAAGGCCATCTTCTCTTTTAAACCCTTTAAAGCGCCCGGACCGGACGGTCTACACCTGTTCTTTTTTAAAAAGTACTGGGATATACTAGGCCCCTCTGTCACAAAATTGTGCATGACATCTTTGAAACCCAAGAGATCCCCCATGATCTCAACAAAACTTACTTGTGTCTTATCCCAAAGATTTCCAATGCAAATAACATAAATTTTTTTAGACTCATTGGTCTATGCAACACTATTTATAAAGTCATCACAAAGATCCCTGCTAATAGACTTAAACCTTTCCTTGACCAACTTATTTTCCCTTACCAAGATAGCTTTATAAAAAATAGAAGGGCTTCGGATAATTCTATTATCATACAAGAGCTTATTTCAAAAATCCATAAGTTAAATGGGAAACAAGGTCATATGCTTCTGAAAATCGACCTTGAAAAAGCCTTTGAGCGTTTAGAATGGTCATTTGTGCACCACACCCTAACTTATTTCAAATTCCCTGCAAAATTTAAGAAAATTCTCTTATATTGCATCTCAACAAGCTCTATAGTTGTTCTAGTAAATGGCTCTATTACTAGCTTTATTCAACCAAGCCGGGAAATTAAGCAAGGAGACCCTATATCTCCTTACATATTCATCCTCTGCCTTGAAATGTTGTCACGTTACATAAACCATCAAGTTGACGTTAGAAACTGGGATCCTATTACATTAGGAAAAAAAGCTCCCAATTTCTCTCATCTTTTCTTTGTCGACGGCCTTACCTTAATGGCCAGAGCCAATCTAAAATCAAGCCATATAGTAAAAAAAAGGTCTAGACCTTTTTTGTAATCTCTCAGGCCAAAATATTAACACCACCAAGTGAAAAATTATCTTCCCCACAAATTGTCCTCCAAATCTTACTAATGAAATTACCAATATTCTTAATATTAAAAAGAGTGATTCCTTTGGTACTTATCTGTGCTTTCCTATCCTTAATAAATACCCTAGACCAAAAGACTATCAATTTATCATTGACAGAATGAGAGCCAAACTAACAGCTTGGAAAATAAAGTTCTTGAATATAGCAGGCCGGACAACTCTCTCTCATTCCTGTCTAAACTCAATTCCAAACCACTACATGCAATTTACCCTCCTCCCTATGAACATCCTCAAAAAAATTGATAAGGTACAAGGGATTTCATATGGGGTACTACTAATGAGAAACGAAAAATTCACCTCATTAATTGGTCAACCGTTTGTCAACCAAAAAACATGGGAGGCCTGGGTCTCCATAAAGCTAAAGACAAAAACTTTTGTAATCTTGCAAATCTTGCTTGGAGGACCATTACAAACCCTACCACTCCATGGGCTCAACTCATCATTAATGCCGCAAACACTAAAAACACTAGGAATACTTCTTTCATATGGAAAAGTATTCAAAAGGGGCGGGAAATATGTTCCAAGGGTATCAATTGGCAACTTCATCACCATTCTAACATGAATATTTGGGAGACCAATTGGATCCCTAACCTAGGGAGCCTTAGAAATACTATAGAAGGCCCTTTATCAAAAAATGACTATCTAAGAAATATTTTTGATGGCAAGAAGTGGCACCTTGCTAATATATCCCTCAATCTTCCTAATGATATCAAAGATTTCATATCAAAAATAAAAATTCTTGTACAACATCCTAATAATGATATCCCTATCTGGTCCGTTAATACAAAAGGTATTTTCACAACCAAAACTTGCTACTCCTTAATCAACACTAATTAGAACAATGATATGAATTTTAAGTGGATTTGGATCCTGCCATGGCCAAATAAGATCAAAATTTTTCTCTGGCAATGCCTTCACAATAGAATTCCTTGTAGACAATATCTCGCAAAAATTGGCCTTAATAGATCCTCATTTCCCTATATGTAGAAACCATATAGATGAATCTATCACTCATATCTTCCTTAAATGCCATGCAAGCAATCATATTTGGGAAACCATTGGATGGAAATTTTTTTATAGGGAGGATGGGGAACATTGGTTAATCCAATTAAAAATTTTTAATTATCCCTTCAACAACAATTTGTTAAATTAGAATCTTTTCTTCCCTTTTGCAATTTGGTATATTTGGATTAATAAAATAACAAAAACCAAAATAATACTAATTTTCCAATAAACATTGACCTCATCAGAAATAGAGCTATTGAATTCCGCCTTTTAACTGAAACTAAGGTGCTACCATCTCCAAAGCTCCATATTATGGCATAAACCTCCAATAGAATGGTTTAAATTGAACATTGATGCTAGCTTCCACAAAGACATGCAAATTTGTGGCGTAGGTGGGGTAATCAGAAATACTAAAGGCCACTGGATTGTTGGCTACAATAAATGTACTCATGCAAACGGTTGTCTACAAGCTGAAATCAAAGCACTACTAGAAGGATTAAAAACAGCCCATGAGTGGGGTATGTTTCCACTTCAAATTGAAACAAATTCCACGGAGGTAATTCTATTAATACAACAAGGTAATAATCTATATGCTAACACTATTCTAAAATGCAGGTCGTTAATGCACCAACAGAAGCAAGTAATCCTCCAGCAGGAATTCCGACAAGGGAATAGGATAGCTCACCAGCTAGCACATATGGGAATTGCCAATGCAAGGAAGAAGAAGAAAGTTTTTTGTTGCCCCACCTGAAGATGTTAAAATCCTAGTAGAACATGATGTACTAGAATAATGTGTTTTTGAAAAACTCTTATTATATGATGCTTGCAATACTTTAGCAAGCCTAGGTAATCAAAGTGTCCGATGTGACACTAACTACAAATCGCATGTAATGCATGTTCCGTAACTTTTAATATATATATTTTCCTGTTTGCTAAAAAAAACTATTTTTTAAACTTCTGAAACCATTTCATTGGTGAAAATAACATATGTCATCCTACTTGCATAATCTGTTAGATAATCTGAAATAAAGAGTCATAACAAAGGTTCTATCATGTACTTTCTAAATAAAACTTTCAATCAACAGACCATAAATTATTTAACCTTTCAATAAAGCAGTAAGAGAAAAAAATCACCCACACATTGAATAAAAAAATACATAAGAAACAAGCAAATCTAGCAACTAAGTAATTCAAAAGAAATAGAATACTTAGTACATCTAGCTAAATTATTATGTTTTGCAATTTTGGTAGATACAGATTAATGAGTTAGTTATCCATATTTTCAATGCTTGGTGGAATTTTATGTATCTTTCAGCAATAAAACCTGTTAGCTTTCTTATATTATTGAAGAGTTACCATAAATTGATGCCAAAAGAGTTATCTTCAGTTCCTACTACACAATGAAGAATATTTTACTTTAAAGCATCTATTCAATCATACCATTCAAATTAATTAAAAAACAACTAATTACCCACCCTTTATGTCACATATTACACTTTTTCTCAATTAACTCCCTAATCACTGGTCTTTGCAGGACTTCATTTTCTCCTCTTCTTTTGATAAGTTATTTTTCTCATATGGATCGAAAGCAAACAGAAATTCACTTATATCTAATACCTTCATTTTTCCTCCCTTTGATAAAGACCCAACAAGTACTTTATAAGCATAAAAGAAAAGCAAATTGGACATTGCGCGTTGTACTTCAACTGATCTTACAAGTGAAATATAATTGCAATGACAAATAAAGCAGCTATTCCCATGGTTTATTGCAATTTGCCTTTCACTTGCAAAATAAATAAATAAATAAGAACAAAAAATGTAACTTACCTAGTATAAAGGAAGAGAAGACTTACAAGAATGAATTCAATAAGTGCATACTGCCTTTTAGTTAACTAGCAAAATAAACCCATTCACCAATGAATATTCAATTTCATCCTAAAAAATATCATTACCTAAACCCAAAATCAAACTAAACCACCTAAAAATCTAATAACCCATCAACCAAAACTTATTCAAAGCAAATCCAAATATTGCAATTTTGCAATAAATAGAAAGGCAAACTCATCGCATACATTTTCCCATCAATAAAACAAAAGACAAATCATCAAGGATTTTCATATAATAAAGTACTAACCTTTTTGATTTAAAGTGGGTATGATTATTACCTCAATATTCTTAGTGGTAAAGACTGAGAGAGCAAAGAAATAATGAAAAAAATTGTTGTAGAATAAAAGTACAAAGGGGCTAGGGCAAGGGGGAGAAAAAGAGAGACAAAACCTGTTGGAATTTCTTCGGATCTTTGTTGGTGGATCAACTATATTTATTAGGGCTTGGGTACCGTGTATCTTTGTTAGGACTTTAATTTTAGTTTTTCTTTTTTTCCTCTCCGTCTCTTAGTTCTTTTCCATGAAAAATTGGCGGGTTAGTAAATTTGGAAGCGGCAATATAAGGAGGGAATGCAACACTGTTGCAATAGTATTTTTATTTAAATAACCATCACCATAGATATATATATTGCCACGTTTAAATAAATCGTCGCAAAAGACCTGTCTATGGCAAGGGTTATTCCCCTAATGTGACGGTTTATTGTATTAACTATCTCACTAGCCCCGATAGAATTATGCAACGATTATAACCGTTGCCATAGATTATCTTTTGCAACGTTTATATAACCGTTGTTAAAAACCCGTTGAAATAGGTCTATTTTCTAGTAGTGTGAGGATGAAATATTGTACTAAGACTTACTTGAGCCCCCAATCCTTTTTGGAAGGACCTCCAGAAGTTAGCTGTAAATTGAGACACCATGAAGTCGTACTATCTCCTTAATATAAAGCCTTGGATAATCCTATGAGGAATATGTAGTCCTAACGGGTAGAAAATGGGCTGACTTTGTAAGCCTATCAACAATCACCCTTATCGAATCGAACTTATGCTGGGTATGAGGTAAGCCTACGATGAAATCCATATTGATTATTTTCCATTTCCAAGTCGGAATCTTCATAGCCTGCAATAATCAACCGGGTTTTTGATGCTCAATCTTAACCTGCTGATAGTTAGGACACTGAGCAACAAACTCTGCTATATTTTTTTTCATTTTGTCCCACCAATATACTTCCCTGATATCATGATACATCTTTGTCGCTCCGAGATGGATAGAATAATGAGAATAGTGAGTTTCTCCCATAACCTGCCGACGCAGCCCTGTAACATTAGGCACACATAATCACCCTCGATATCTGAGGACCCCACCTTCTGTAATTTCAAACGGTATCTTCTCCTTCTGAGGGGTGGTATCCCTATAATGAACTAATACAGGATCCTCGTACTGGCATTCCTTTACTTCAGTTACTAAAGAGGATGTTGTCGTATCCTAAATAGTAATTCCAATATCACCTGAGTCCAGTAACCGAACTCCAAGATTAGCTAGCTGATGAACCTCATGGGTTGTTCCCCTCTTTTGGCTGTAAATGCGATAGGCTACCCATAGATTTACGGCTGAGGGCATCGGCTACTATGTTTTCATTCCCCGGATTGTATAAAATATCAACGTCATAGTCTTTAAGTAGCTCCAACCATCTCCTTTGACGTAGATTCAATTCCTTTTGCTTGAAGATGTACTAGAGGCTCTTATGATATGTATAGATATCAACATGAATGCCATACAAGTAGTGCCTCCACATCTTTAGTGCATGAATTACCGCGGCTAACTCTAAATCATGGGTCGGGTAGTTCTTCTCGTGCTTTATTAGTTGTCTAGAAGCATAAGCCACAACCTTACTATGTTGTATCAGCACATAACCCAATCCAACGCCTAAAGCGTCGTAATAGATAACATAACCATTGGTCCCTTCTGAAGCATTAGAACAAGTGCTGAAGTTAATCTGTCCTTTAATGCCTAAAAACTTTGTTCGCAAGCATCAGTCCATTGAAACTTTGCTCCCTTCTGAGTCAACTTTGTCAAAGGTGCTGAAAGGGAAGAAAATCCCTCCACAAATCTCCTGTAATAACCTGCCAAACTGAGAAAGCTATGAACCTCCATCGGTATTGTGGGTCTAGGCCAAGTCTTTACTGCCTCAATCTTTTGTGTATCCACCCGGATGCCTTCCCCTGAAATGATATGTCTAAGGAAAGCTACAGTATTCAACCAGAATTCACATTTAGATAATTTTGCATACAACTTCCCTTTTTGTAGAACTCTGAGCACAGTATGCAGATGATCTGCATGCTCAGCCTCTTAACGAGAATACACCAATATATCATCGATAAATACAGTTATGAACAGATCTAAAATGGGCCTAAACACATGGTTCATCAAATCCATGAATACTGCTGGGGCATTGGTCAAACCGAATGACATAACATGAAACTCAAAGTGCCTGTATCTGGTCCTGAATGTTGTCTTCGGAATATTTTCCTCCCTAACCCTTACCTAATGGTACCCGGACCTCAAGTTTTTTTTGAAAAACACTTAGCACCTTGCAACTGATCAAATAAATTATCAATCCTCGGGAGGGGGTACTTATTCTTGATCATCACTTTGTTCAACTGCCTAAAATCAATACACATCCGTAACGAACCATCTTTCTTTCTCACAAACAACACAGGTGCTCCCCACGGTGACGTACTAGGTCTGATAAAACCTTTTTCAAGCAAGTCCCTTAGTTATTCCTTTAACTCTTTCAGCTCTGCAGGGGCCATTCTATAAGGGGGAATAGATATTGGATGAATATCTGGTAGTAGGTCAATGGCAAACTCAATTTCTCGCTCTGGCGGAAGACCCGAAAGCTTATCGGGAAAAATATTGGGAAACTCATTAACCACCGGGATGGACTGAATGGTAGGTGACTCCACTTCCACATCCTGAACCCAAACTAAGTGATAAATACAACCCTTTCGATCATCTTCCTTGCCTTGAGATAGGAAATAAATCTTCCTCTTGATGATGCCGCATTACCTTTCCACTCCAAAATAGGATCCCCTGGAAATTGAAATCGGACTATCTTTGATCCATAATCAACGTTGGCATGACAAGAAGCGAACCAATCCATACCCATTACAACATCAAATTCTGCCATATCTCACTCGATTAGGTCCGCTACAGTAGATCGACTATGAACTAGTATTATGCAACTCCTATATACTCGCTTAGCTATCACTGAGTCCCCAACATGTGTATATACCTCAAAAGGTTTAACTAATTCAGGTTTTATTCCAAATTTACTAGCAACTAACAGAGTAAAATATGATAAGGTGGAACCTGGGTCAATCAGTGCATATACATCATATGAGGAGACTGATAACATACTTGTAACAACATCAGGCGATGATTCCTAGTCCTATCATCCTGCCAACGCATAAATGCGATTCTGAGGACTGCTCGAGCTAGATGCTTTGCCTCTACCTCTACCACGATTCATTGGTACTTGTGGACCTTGCCCAAGGGGGCGTACTGATATGACGAACCAGCTATAGATCCCACTGGCTGAGCTATGCTTGCATCACCTCTCATCGGACAATCCCTTATAACGTGGCCCAGATAACCACAAGTATAACAAATACCTAATCCCATATGGCATTGCCTGGTATGCTGCTTACCACATTGAGCACATTGTAACAAGGGCGGCCTCATCTTACTTGACTCACCCCCATACTGAGAACCTGAGGCCCTGAAATTCTTACTAGACCCTAAATATGTTGAACGATCAAATCTCTTACCACCAAACTGAGGGGGCACGCTAGCCGATGGCTGGGCTGGAGACCTCGGGTACTGTTTCCTCTGACCACCTCGAAATTCTTCAGAAGGACCCGAAGACCTTGCTTTCTTATTCTGGGCCCTGTCTGTGAGCACGTGATTTTTGCTTCACATGAATTACTCCTACAGAATCCCAAAGAATTAGATTTTTCTTTATTTTGTTTGCCATTTTAGGAATTATTGTAGAGTTTTCTTAATTAGTTGCAATTTTCTGTACGTGTTTAATTTTAGTTAAATCATGAAAAATGAAAAAAATACTCTACATTTTCATTTACGATTTATTTTACACTTTTAGGTTAATTAGTAAATTAATTATTTTATAAAAATGAAAAATCACAAAAATAACTCACTTTGCATTTTTAATTTTTTAATTTTGAATTTTATGGGTTTTCTCTTAATTTAGGAGTTATTTAATTTTTGTAAGTACTATTACTAGTAATTATCTTAATTTGGTAAATTAATTTAGTTTTAAGAGTTAATTTAGGTTTTAATTTTAATTTGAAAAGAAAAGAAAATTAGAAATTAAAAGAAAAGAAAAGAACAACAAAAGGCTGCTTGATCTGGACCAATTTGGCACAGGCCCAAGCCAATTTCCCCCCAAACCCGCTCAAAGTCCAGGGCCAAGTCACCCCTAACTCGGTCCAAGTCGTCTAACCCCCTAAATGACCCTGTTTTTGTAGCCATCGATCACAGCCGTTGGATTTCGATCATCCAACTGCTCGGAACAAATTGATCACTTAATATTTAACTGTCCCAACCCGGCCTACCCCCCAAACCAAACCATAGTCATTCTTCATCTCCCTTCTCCCAAACAACGAACCCTAGCCGCCCTTTAACCTCACGCCGCCTCCACGGTGAACACCACCGGAAATTGCCTCATGGCGGTTCCGGTGGTCAAATCAGTCCCAAAATGATACCACGAACTCCCCTGCATCTCCCCATTCCAAATCTTCACTCCACTTCCTTCGAATCAGGCCTGGTTCATTCGAATCGTAAATCAAAAATTCAGCCAAAACTTCAACCGTTCCAAATTGCTTCAAACTTACACCATATGACCTTCCCCTCTCTAAGCCCCAAACCACCATTAACCCCTTTTGAATTAGCCTTGAGTTACTCGAATTTCAAATCTCGTGACTCCGAAATAACCCTAATTTTCTTTCTTATCTTTTTGGGGATGTATTTGGTCGAATGGACTTAAAACCTCCATTAATCAACTGTTCTTGTTAGGAACAGTTGATTAATATTGGTCAAAGTCCATATTACACTTCAAGAGGTTCGACAAGCTTGTGTTTTGATCCAGTGTTCTTAAATTAAAACATGGTAAATCCCTTCTTCTTTTCTTTTGATTGTTTTAATTCATTTTTGTTTCCTCTCTGCATGACTGAGTGTTTTTGTTTTAACAACATAATTTTTGATTTTCTTTCAGTTTCTTGATTTTTCCTCTTTTTCTTCTTGTTTAATTCATCTTTGTTAGAAGCATGTTAAGTAATGGCATATGTTTAGGTTTAATTAGGTTTAATTGTTAGCTTTCATGGCCTGATCCTATTTGATTCTTTGACTGTTACCACTTCTGCTATCAATATTCATTCAAGTTCAGGCTCATTTAGGGTTTCGTTTGCTTTGTCTTGCTTTTATGTTCATAGCTGCCTGTTC